CTCCTCGAATTCGTCTCGAGTTAGCGCTCGTACAGCTGCCGAAATCCGGTCGACGTTGGCATCTATCCAACGACAGTACTCAAGATTTTCGGCACCTTACTACCCTCCGTCCCTGCGCAAACCTTTCTATCGGGCACACAGTACAAGTCGTCTGTAACGACAGTTGAGCTGTCACCCTGAAGCAGCTAACCGGGGGATTGAAGTTCCAGCTACATTTCCCAGACGAAAAGGCGGTGCTCTGAAAATTTTTTTACTTCCGAACATCATCTTGCTTGCATACGAGGACATGGTTCAACGACTGACATTTTCGAGATCGAGGGTCGTCCATGCTGGTATCTTGAGACTAGAAAACCGGAAGATGGCGTCGATAACGAGAAAGGTTTGTCTCTTCGCGGTCATCAACAAAAGGAGGTCGTCGCTGTTGCAACCACACCCCCTCCCAGGCAGCCTGATCTCTGTCGCGCAGAAGGATTGTCTACTGGTAATGAAATTACCGCAAATTTCCTGCGAGAGGCAAGACAGTCGTCCTACGATACCGTTCTTGATAGAAAAGGAGACTCCAGCGTCTAACCGGTCTACCTTTCAACTTACGTTCCAGAATAGGGTGTACTAAGCACCCACTTCATTCGACTGTCCCTGTTCTGACATCCGGGTCTCACTGAGAGCCGCGGTGTCCACATCTTAGCGAACCGGTTTGTGGGTGACCAGAACTGTCCTCCCTTTCGGCCGGTTTGCAAGGAAGCGAGCCTTTCGAATTGTCTGAATGACTGCCCACTCCACTCTACTCTGGGTCACTGCTTTGGTACAATGGAAGGAAGACCCGAATTAACCTGGGACACCGCGTAGTGCACGCCCTCGTGGAGACTGGGATGAGAGCTGGTTGCCAGGGCAAGAAGAACCAGTGAATATTTCGCGAAACGACCAACCAAAAGCACCCATGAACCTAGCGTGGTCCTACCACTGCTCAGCTCACTTTCAAAGTACACGCCCATTCTCAGTCGCTACACTCACTCTCCAGACAGACCATCCCTCGGAATTCAACGTCGTCGCGTTAACTGTTCGAAAAAAGTGCAAAGCACAGTGAAGACCGGAACTCAGATAATAACTGATCCAGTATCGATCTGCTGCCTGTGCGCCATGCCTCACGCAAACACCTGAGGCCTAGCAATTCTGGTCGCGGATTGGCTATATCGCCCAGCAAATATCACGCCTCTGGTTGCTGTTTACTTAGCACGAACAATGGATCCATGTGGGCGGCCGAGAGGACAGGCAAATAAATCGGCGGTTTCGTTTTTCCCTCAGCCGCCCTACCTTGGTTAAAAATTGACACAATTACCCATCCCTGTGTGTACTTGCCGGGGGATAAACAACCTTGCGGGCAAAGCTGAAGGTCAGGACCTTGTTGGCTCCTCCTCCTCCTCCTCCTCCTCCTCCTCCTCCTCCTCGGATTCGTCTCGAACTGACGCTCGTACAGCTGCCGAAATCCGATCGACGGTAGCCTCTATCCAGTGGCACAGTATTCAACTTGTTCGACACCCTAGTATCCTCTGTCCCTGCGTCAAAATTGCTGTCGGCCACACAGTGCACACCGTCTGCAGCGACAGTTGAACTGTCGCCCTGAAGCAGCTATCCGGAGGAATGAAGTTCCAGCCACATTTTCCAGACGAAAAGGAGGTGCTCTGCACAGCATTTACCTCCGAACATTATCTTGCTTGCTCACGAGGACATGGTTTAGCAACTGCTATTTTCGGGATCGAGGGTGTGTCCATGTTGGTATCTTGAGACTAGAAAACCGGAAGATGGCGTCGATAAGGAGAAAGGTTTGTCTCTTCGCGGTCATCAACAGAAGGAGGTCCTGGCTGTTGCAACTGCACTCCCTCCCAAGCATCGTGATCTCTGCCACGCAGAATGATTGTCTACTGGTCATGAAACGACAGCTGATTCCCTGCGGGAGGCAAGGCAGTCGTCTTTCGATAGGGTGACTCCGAAAGGTGACTTCAGCGTGTAACCAGTATACCTTTCGACTTACGTTCCAGAATAAGTTGCATTAAGCACCCACTTAATTCGACTGTCCCTGTTCTGACATCCGGGTTTCTCTGAGAGCCGCGGTGTCCACATCTTAGCGAGCCGGTTTGTGGGCGACCAGAACTGTCCTCCTTTTCGGCTGGTTTGCCATTGGACTGTCCGCAAGGAAGCGAACATTTCGGACTGTCTGAATGGCTGCACACTCCACTCCACTGTGGGCCACTGCATTGGTACAATTGAAGGAAGACCCGAATTAACCTGGGCTACCGCGTAGTGCACGCCCTCGTGGAGACTGAGATGAGAGCTGGCTGCCAGAGCAGGAAGAACCAGTGAATTTTTCACGAAACGGCCAACCAAAAGCACCCATGAACCTACAATTGCTCAGCGCACTTTCAAAGTACACGCCCATTCTTAGTCGCTACACTCACTCTCCAGACAGACCATCCCTCGGACTTCAACGTCGTCGCGTTAACTGTTCGAACAAAGTGCAAAGCAAAGTGAAGACCGGAACTCAGATAATAACTGATCCAGTATCGATCTGCTGCCTGTGCGCAATGCCTCACGCAAACACCTGAGTACTAACAATTCTGGCCGCGGATTGGCTATATCGCCTAGCATATGTCACGCCTCTGGTTGCTGTTTTCTTAGCTCCAACAATGGATCCATGTGGGTGGCCGAGAGGACGGGCAAATAAATCGGCGGTTTCTTTATTCCTTCAGCCGCCCGCACTTGGTTAAAAATAGACAAAATTACCCATCGCTGTGTGTACTTGCCGGGGGATAAACAGTCTTGCGGGCAAAGCTGAAAGTCAGGACCTTGTTGGCTCCTCCTCCTCCTCCTCCTCCTCCTCGGATTCGTCTCGAACTGACGCTCGTACCGCTGCCGAAATCCGATCGACGGTAGCCTCTATCCAGTGGCACAGTATTCAACTTGTTCGGCACCCTAGTATCCTCTGTCACTGAGTCAACCTTGCCGTCGGGCACACGGTGCACACCGTCTGCGACGACGTTCGAACTGTTACCCTGCAACAGCTATCCGGAGGATTTAAGTTCCAGCCACATTTTTCAGACGACAAGTCGGTGCTCTACACATTTTTTACCCCGAACATAATCATGCTTGCTCACGAGGACATGGCTCAACGACTGGCATTTTCGCGATCGAGAGCGCGTCCATGTTGGTATTTCGAGACTAGAAAACCGGAAGATGGCGTCGATAAGGAGAAAGGTTTGTCTCTTCGCGGTCATCAACAGAAGGAGGTCCTGGCTGTTGCAACTGCACTCCCTCCCAAGCATCGTGATCTCTGCCACGCAGAATGATTGTCTACTGGTCATGAAACGACCGCTGATTCCCTGCGGGAGGCAAGGCAGTCGTCTTTCGATAGGGTGACTCCGAAAGGTGACTTCAGCGTGTAACCAGTATACCTTTCGACGTACGTTCCAGAATAAGTTGCATTACGCACCCACTTCATTCGACTGTCCCTGTTCTGACATCCGGGTTTCTCTGAGAGCCGCGGTGTCCACATCTTAGCGAGCCAGTTCGTGGGCGACCAGAACTGTCCTCCTTTTCGGCTGGTTTGCCATTGGACTGTCCGCAAGGAAGCGAACATTTCGGACTGTCTGAATGGCTGCTCACTCCACTCCACTCTGGGTCACTGCTTTGGCACAATTGAAGGAAGACCCGAATTAACCTGGGACACCGCGTAGTGCACGCCCTCGTGGAGACTGAGGTGAGAGCTGGCTGCCAGAGCAGGAAGAACCAGTGAATTTTTCGCGAAACGGCCAACCAAAAGCACCCATGAACCTACCATTGCTCAGCGCACTTTCAAAGTACACGCCCATTCTCAGTCGCTACACTCACTCTCCAGACAGACCATCCCTCGGACTTCAACGTCGTCGCGTTAACTGTTCGAACAAAGTGCAAAGCAAAGTGAAGACCGGAACTCAGATAATAACTGATCCAGTATCGATCTACTGCCTGCGCGCAATGCCTCACGCAAACACCTGAGGGCTAGCAATTCTGGTCGCGGATTGGCTATATCACCTAGCATATGTCACGCCTCTGGTTGCTGTTTTCTTAGCTCCAACAATGGATCCATGTGGGCGGCCGAGAGGACGGGCAAAGAAATCGGCGGTTTCTTTATTCCTTCAGCCGCCCGCACTTGGTTAATAATAGACAAAATTACCCATCGCTGTGTGTACTTGCCGGGGGATAAACAACCTTGCGGGCAAAGCTAGAGGTCAGGACCTTGTTGGCTCCTTCTCCTCCTCCTCCTCCTCCTCCTCCTCCTCCTCCTCCTCCTCGGATTCGTCTCGAACTGACGCTCGTACCGCTGCCGAAATCCGATCGACGGTAGCCTCTATCCAGTGGCACAGTATTCAACTTGTTCGGCACCCTACTACCCTCTGTCCCTGCGTCAAAACTGCTGTCGGCCACACGGTGCACACCGTCTGCAACGGCAGTTGAACTGTCGCCCTGAAGCAGCTATCTGGAAGAATGAAGTTCCGGCCACATTTTCCAGACGAAAAGGAGGTGCTCTGCACAGCATTTACCTCCGAACATAATCTTGCTCACGAGGACATGGTTCAACGACTGGCATTTTCGCGATCGAGAGCGCGTCCATGTTGGTATTTCGAGACTAGAAAACCGGAAGATGGCGTCGATAACGAGAAAGGTTTGTCTCTTCGCGGTCATCAACAGAAGGAGGTCCTGGCTGTTGCAACTGCACTCCCTCCCAAGCATCGTGATCTCTGCCACGCAGAATGATTGCCTACTGGTCATGAAACGACCGCTGATTCCCTGCGGGAGGCAAGGCAGTCGTCTTTCGATAGGGTGACTCCGAAAGGTGACTTCAGCGTGTAACCAGTATACCTTTCGACGTACGTTCCAGAATAAGCTGCATTAAGCACCCACTTAATTCGACTGTCCCTGTTCTTACAACCGGGTTTCGCTGAGAGCCGCGGTGTCCACATCTTAGCGAGCCAGTTCGTGGGTGACCAGAACTGTCCTCCTTTTCGGCTGGTTTGCCATTGGACTGTCTACAAGAAAGCGAACATTTCGGGCTGTCTGAATGACTGCTCACTCCACTCCACTCTGGTTCACTGCTTTGGCACAATTGAAGGAAGACCCGAATTAGCCTGGGCTACCGCGTGGTGCACGCCCTCGTGAAGACTGAGATGAGAGCTGGCTGTCGGGGCAGGAAGAACCAGTGAATTTGTCGCGAAACGACCAACTAACGTGGTCCTATCACTGCTCAACGCACGTTCAAAGTACCGCCCATTCTTAGTCGCTACACTCACTCCCCAGACAGACCATCCCTCGGACTTCAACGTCGTCGCGTTAACTGTTCGAACAAAGTGCAAAGCAAAGTGAAGACCGGAACTCAGATAATAACTGATCCAGTATCGATCTGCTGCCTGTGCGCAATGCCTCACGCAAGCACCTGAGGACTAGCAATTCTGGTCGCGGATTGGCTATATCACCTAGCAAATATCACGCCTCTGGTTGCTGTTTTCTTAGCTCGAACAATGGATCCATGTGGGTGGCCGAGAGGACGGGCAAATAAATCAGCGGTTTCGTTATTCCCTCAGCCGCCCGCACTTGGTTAAAAATAGACACAATTACCCATCCCTGTGTGTACTTGCCGGGGGATAAACAACCTTGTGGGCAAAGCTGAAGGTCGGGACCTTGTTGGCTGTCTTTTATGTCGGAATAGGTGTTGATCACATTTCAAAAATAGCCACTGGTGAGGACGTTGGTGTGGGCAGGAGAAACAAGAGGTAGGTGTAATAGTCGGACATTTAAGCCTCCGGCAGTCCAAACCGTGGACCCAGGAAGACGCGACGATACTTTCCTAGTCGGTAGTAACCCTGCATTCTCAAGTACCGTGCCACTTTAAAGGACTGCTGAACGACGACAAAGTCACCTATTCCGTTTTATTTTGCCCCAACTGTGAAAAAACTCAGCGATGCCGGTGGGGTTTGAGTCCACAACAGCAAGGGGAAGACTTTAGTACAGCCAACTAGGCCTGATTGGGACTCGTGAGTTTAATCACATGTGGCTCAACTTACCCGCCCAGCCTACAGCAACGTTTGGAATCCGCCAAATCTGATACAGTAAGTGGACTGTATAAGCAGATTTTCATAAGTAATCGTCTTAGAATCCACAAGATGACTACCAGGCTCAGGTTATTAATAGGTATTTTTGTTTGGTACTCATCTGGTGGATTCTAAGAGGATTACTTATGAAATTTTCTTTAAACAGTCCTCTTACTGTGCCAGATTTGATGGATTTCATACATTGCAGTAGGCTGGATGGGTAACTGGACTGAATGTGATTAAACTCACGACTCCCGATTAGGCCTCGTAGCTCAGGTGGCTAGACTGTTGGCTGTACTCAAGCCTTCCACTTGCTGACGTGGGTTCGAATCCCGTCGAGTTTTTCTTAGTCGGGTCAAAATAAGTTACTCCAAATCTGTTAAAAAACCTACAGTAGGTAGGCCAACTCATGAAATGTCAACCGAAATTCCGACATACGTTTTCGTTTCGAGAAGATTAATTAAGTAGGGTTGTAAAACTTGTCAGCCCGTAGAATAATTCCATAATATTTAAGTTACCCCCGGATGCCGGCTTTTGAATGAACTTCCTTCCGGCTGCATGCAAAAGCTACACTGTAGAAAATTACTGCTTAATTAGCATGAATTTTTCTGATTGATTTTCGATACGCATAAAAGCCCAATTATATTTCCTGGAAGACATTCATAAAAATATTCAATCTTTCGCTCATTCGGTAGATCGTTACGTCTTCTCCTAATTTTATACTCGAAAGAAGGACATAATTCGGTTTTCAGAAACTTTTTCAATTCCCGAATAATTTTGAACCCGCTCTACCGTCACCCTTGGATCCAGGATTCCAAAACTACAAGCCGTATAATTTCCACGTTCGGAAAACCACACATTTCTCTACGGTACTAAAGGACGATCATATAGGGTTCACAAAATTAAGCAGTGAATTTGATTCATATTGTTAACTTTACAAGCCACGTTGGTAAATGCAAAGACATGACGATTTATGAACGGCCATTTCAGGGTATTTAAAAGTCCTACAATTAGAACATACTTTAAAAACGAACTATGTCCCTCCATCGAGTACAGAAGAAGAAGAAGAAGAAGAAGAAGAAGAAGAGGAAGAAGAAGTTATTATCTCCCGAATGAGCAAAAGAATGAATATTTTTATGTATGTTTTCCATGAAATATTATTAAACTTTCAGGGGCATCGAAAATCAACGAGAAATATTCATGCTACTGAAGTGTTCATTTTTTACAGAGTGTAATTTTTTGCATGCAGCCGGAAGGAAGTTCGTTCGAAAGCCGGTATCCTGAGGTAACTGAAATATTCTAGAATTATGTTGCAGGCTGAAAAGTTTTAAAACCCTACTTAATTACTCTTTTCGAAACGAAAACGCTTTTCGGAATTTCGGTTGATATTTCATAAATTAGCCCACCTACCGTATTACTATCCCGTTTTGTTTGTTTTGGTATCTATATGCTCTTGGGGTAAGACTCCTTTTCCTAGAGCCCAAAAGACAAGCAGTATTATGTGATGTTACTTAGAACTCCAAAGCCAACAACCATCTCGTCATTTCGAGTGTTCTCGTTGCCTTGGGGCCTCTTGGTGCTAGCCGATAGATGGACGGCAGTCATCCGTGCAGGACTCCAGCAGCCAACGTTGGCGCACGCTTTTGTAACTGGTGATGTGCTTCCATGACGGGAGGTTAAAAAAAGCCGGGCCGTCGTAGTTTTGTGTCGTGCCGTACAGTCTCTCGTACGGCAGTTTACGGTACATGAATCTTCACTTCCAGTCTCCTATAAGAGACAAACCCACTACTTGGGCACAGCGAGTAGGCTATCCAGGAAACGAAAATAGCAGTATCCCAACAGTTACAAACTAGTAAATAAGAACAAAGTCGTCAGCAGGTAAACGTGCACGTGCGTGTTCTTTGTCTTATTCAAAGGTGTGTCAAAGCGTATTGTAACTGATTAAAACAAAACAGATTTAAATGTCACTACAATACTCCCCCTCCTAGGAGAACGGAGTTCAAAAAAAGGTATTGTTAATAGAAGGAAAATGTGGGAGTGTTATGCATATTGTACAAGTTGGTAACGGTCGGGAAAACGGACATGACGACCGCTGCGCGTAAGGGGAGGAGTCTGTGGGATAGGGGAAGACGCGGGGTTATTGGGCGTTAATGGAGTCTGGGAAATAGCAAGTGGCAATGTGCCAAGTGGGGGTTGTTCGGTTTGAGAAGTTGGAAGAGGCTCGGTATAAGCCGCCTTCAAGCGATCGATTGAGACCACGTCGGTGCGGCCTCCACGGTCAATTGTAAAGTGCTTGTCCTTGCGCGATAGTACTCGAAATGAGCCGTCATAGGGCTGTTGTAGTGGCCGGCGAACGCTTGAAGGCGGCTTATACCGAGCCTCTTCCAAATTCGCCAACGGAAGAACAAACCCCCACTTGGCACATTGCCACTTTCTATTTCCCAGACTCCATTTACGCCCAATAACCCCGCGTCTTCCCTTATCCCACAGACTCCTCCCCTTACGCGCAGCGGTCGTCATGTCCGTTTTCCCGACCCTTACCAACTTGTACAATATGATCAAAGTCGTCAGCAGGTAAACGTGCACGTGCGTGTTCTTTGTCTTATTCAAAGTTGTGTCAAAGCGTATTGTAATTGATTAAAACAAAACAGATTTAAATGTCACTACACTCCTCTGACACGACAATTCGATCTTCGTTACGAACGACAATCCAGGAATGTCGCGCAGCAGGGTGGGCTCAGGGACAGTGACTAGCGGGTGGATTACTTCACCATCACCTTCCTGGGCTTGCTGCCAAGAGGGCTGAACGCGGTATCGGGCGAGGGTGGCCGGTGCGACTGGAGCCTGCGCCTTGACGTGCCAACACGCACACACGCCCATGTGTGACATTTGTTATGGCTGCACGGCCCAGTAGCGCGTTTCGTACCCTGATCTGGCCCTCTCGTTCGTCCGGTGCAACTGCTGCGTGGTTCGCTGGTGGGAGGGCACTCAAGTTAATGGTCCATCAAAGCCTTCATCTCGGTTGGATCTGAGCTAGTAAGTTTTTTTAACGAACGAAAATGTTTACATGTTGAAACTGCATTATGCCACCCTGCATCACGTGTGGCAGCCAGGAGAGACTGTTCCCAGTAGAACCACACTCACAGACTGGAAGACGGCCCACCTTACACCTCTTTACAACAGCGATTGTCGTACTCTTGCGACAAACTACAGACCCGTCAGTCTGACATCAATCTGCTGCAAAGCGACGAGAAAGCCATAAAAAGGAGTAGATGGCTTATTTGGAAACCATTAACCTCTTCTCCAATGCACAATACGGTTTCCGTAGAGGAAGGTCGTGTGTAACGAACTTGCTATATACAATGCGGAATTGGACAAGAGCACTGGACGCAAAACACGCTGTGCATGTGACCTATATTGATTTCTGGAAGGCGTTCGACAGTGTTCCACACCAGCGTCTCTTGTACAAGTTGAGAGTCATGGGCATCGGCAGCAAACTTCTCAAATGGATCGAGAACTTCCTCGTCGGCCGTTCCCAAATGGTCTGCATAGAACAACAGCAATCAGGGTGCACATTCATAGGGAGTGGAGTCCCACAAGGCTCCGTGCTCGAATCAACCCTCTTCTTCATCAATGATTGTGTAGATGGGTTGGGCTGTGATTGTGCCATGTTTACGGATGACATAAAAATCTGGAAAGTCATCCAGAATGCTGCCGATGAGACCAACTTCCAAGAAAATCTTTGTCAATTGGACGAGTGGTCTTTCACTTTGAACAAATATGCCATACTGCGCCTCGGAAATCAGACACCTAGTACACGGTGATGCCATCTGGACGGAATGTCACTTCAAGAAGCAGAAAGGCAGAAAGATCGCGGAATCTGGGTTGCAGACAGCCTAAAGCCTTCTAAACAATGTTGTAAGGCGGCCAAGGCCGCAACTTCAATGCTATATGCCATCAGGCGGGCATTTGCAGTTTTCCATGAAGACTGCATCCCCAAAGTCTTCGGCACGTTTGTAAGACCGCATCCCGAATATGCAATTCAGACCTGGAGACCGTAGACGCAGCAGAATTACAGTCTGCTCGAAAGGGCGCAGAGGCGAGCAACAAAATTAATAAGAGGTCAAAGTGCACTGTCATACGAGATCCGCTTAACTAACCTTAATATCTATCCTCTGAGTTATAGGCAGTTGCGCCGGGACTTGATACAAACTTTCCGAATCGTGCGTGGCTTGGACTGCGCCCTTCGGTGCGATGAATTTTTCTAACTTGTCACAACAACTAACCCCCGGGGACATCCCTTAAAGCTACGTGTGCCCCAGGGTAGACTGAATGTGAGAAAATATTTCTTCTCCAACCGTGTCGTGGAACCGTGGAATAATCTGCCCGAGACGGTTGTCCTGTCTCAATCTGTGGCGACATTTAAATGTAGACTTGACAGACGTATGCTACAACATCAAGCGGACTATGTGACTTTTTAGCCATGAGATCAGTGGCATATGTGAATCGATGTCTGGATTCACTTAGTGCTGTATTTTTTTCACATATTTGCTTATTTTATTGCTTTTTTAATGTAAAAATAGGGAGTTCAAAGGCGTAAGCCTAGTTCCCTCAAACACACTGACTGACTGCAGTCCGCCTTTTGCAAAAGCTGCAGGACCGCCAGCCGATGTGGGTGGGGGGAGAACAAAACTCATATCATTGCTTATGAATGTTGGTGGCCTCCTGTGTTATGTGTCGTCACCTCAATCGGGGTTAGTTGCGTTCCTGTCCCCCATTTGGCTGAATTAGTCTACGGGCCATGCGTGCTCGATATTCTTAAGCCCCTCGTGACCGTCTTGTCCTGTCATGGCTTATGTAGTGACCCGTGTCTTCACATTTTGGCTTATTTTATCGATTTTCTATGTACAAATAGGGAGTTTTAAGGCGTAAGCCTATTTCCCTCAAATACACTGACTGACGGACTGAAGTCAACCAGACTGTTTCTGTTATAATGAAATATGGACTGCATTTTGTTTGCGAAGGCGCAGTTTTAAAATCCGCTGCCATCTCGGACAGACACCCCTCGGAATAAACACCCCAAAGCGGGTAGACTGCACACGTAAATTCATCGGCGTTGAAGAGATGCCGACAACCATCGCTTGATTGTGTCCGCCAGCTAGAACAGTTGCTGGGTTGTGACTGCTGGGCTTGTCACGTCGGAGTGGAGCCGCTGGCGGGAATCGAATAAAAGGTGCGGTTATACCGGAAAGACTACTGATCCAAGTCGGTGCTTGGTGCGGCCGTCATCCATCTAACTAACTACGCCTTCCTAGGAGCCATCCTCCCCCCCCACACACGCGACAGTTTGGCCGTCGTTACCGACGCTGTCCACCGTGCGCTCCACGGCAAGGTGAAAGCAGGCGCGGTGACCTGAGCGTGAGTTGATTTATACTTATAGTAGACTTGCACAGCGTCCATCGCACTCTATCTCCTCCCTCTCCCCCCACCTGGGCCTGGTGTCAAGACAGAGTCAAAAAGACCGGAGGCGGGAGAGGGCGCAGGGGCCGGCGCGGCATAAACCCGCACCTAGGCGTGCTATCACACCCCCTGGTCTACAACATACACTGACCATGATTTTATACCGCAGCAAAAAATATGGGGGGATGGCGACATGATCCAAATTCGCAGTCCGACCGGCAACTAGGCCTGCAACTACAACTCAAATGTTGACATTTATTATGGGTGCGCACCTCCAACGATGCCTGCCGGACTCCGATGTAGCCCCTGAGTTGGTCCAATGCATCCACCGATCGGCCCGTTTGAGGTGCAAAACACACAGACACACACACGCACACCGAAGTTCCAGACGTTTTCCATTTGTTTCAACTCTTGGCGCCGTGTGTTCGTTTATGTGATTGGGTTTCGGCGGATCAGAAGGTCTGAAAGCGTGTGCTACGCCAGTATCAGCAAACCATGGCCCTCGTAGCCTGGTATGCGCTGGCAGTTCCCTGACACCTGGTTCCCTGCCGGTAGATGCGCTTTCGTTCCCTCTGGGTATACGAGTGGTGGGCATGGCTGCGCAGTCATTATCCTTGTCCTGCTGACCCCTGTTGGGGTGTTGTTATTGTTGGTCAAATGTATGCTGTGGACCAGAGGGTGTGGTGGTACGCCTAGGCGCGGGTTCATGCCGTGCCAGTTCCCCTGCGCCCTCTCCCGCCACCGGCCTTCTTGACTCTGTCTTGACACCTGGCCCAGGTGGGGAGTGGGGAAGAGAGAGTGCGGTAGATGCTGCGCAAGTCACCGTGCCTGATGCACCTTGTTGTGTAGCACACGATGGACATCGTCAGAATCGATGGCCCAATTGCCGGTTTTCAGCGGCTGCGCGTCACATGCGAATCCAAGGCTTCTGAAAAGCGGCTATAGAGTCCTCACCGTAGCACCTCAAGGCGGTGTGTTCACTGAATCAGAAGAAGGCGTTTGGGTGCCAACGGGAAGTGCGTGATATGCCGACAGTCTAAGTCAGCAGTCTAAATGTTAGTAGAGCTTTTCAGATGGGATCGCACACCACGAATACTCCTAATTTGCAGCCCTAGAGTGGATGATTTTCTCTTCTGCTGGCCTAA